AATTTTATAATTTTTTTTTATGAAGATTAAATTATTTCTAAAAAGCTTTTTATTAACTTCTTTCTAAGAAAAAATTACTTGGTATTTCTTAGATATTTTGCTCAGTTAAAACAATGTAAGAAAGTGATTATAAAATTTGGAAGAGAAGAATATTATAAAAAAAAAATGTAATCTCGAAAAATAATAAAAATTCACATATTTTGTTGGCATATTAAAATCTATGAAGTATTTCTTTTATAATGCATTACAAATGAAGAATGCCGATAAAATCTTAACGTCAAGTCGAGATAAAAAAACGTTTCTTTACTTTTTAAAGTAAAAAATCGAATAAAAAATTCTCATGGGATTTTTTTCCGGCAAAAAATTATTTCGTACAATCCTTTCGAAAAAAAATATAATAATTCATTTTTTTTCTTAATATTCATTGTTAAAACGTTTGATATCTACGATATTTTAATATTATTTGATATCTTTTGTCTTTATATCTATAACTTTAAATGATAAAACGGAAACATATTTGCATCGTTGCGATGCCTAATGAATTGATAATGCCTTTCGAAACTGGAAGTATATTTATGGCCGCTGCCACTTATTGTTAGTCATTGTATTACATTTAATAGCAGCTATTAAAACTTCACACAGAAATTTTTTTGATGAATGCAAAAACTTAATTCTAATATGGTGTTAAATATAAAAAAAAAGTGCGGAGTAAAATATCGGAGTAAAAAAAACTTTCAGAGCCAAAATAAAAATCTGATTTTTACGAAGTTTTTTACTCAATATTTTTTCTAGTTTTTTTCTGTAATAATTATTAGCTCTAACTGAGACTCGATATTTAGGTGGAAATGCTATTGCGCGAGAACTGCGATGCAAAGTGTTTAATCGCCTAATAAATGAACGGAAGGAGGATACGTGGTTGAAAGATACGCGGTCAGATTGACATGTCGACCATAACGAGTGAGCCATTATGGATTATTGGAGTCACGCGCGTTTGATGCTATCCTCGATTACGGTTGTATATGATTGGCAATAAACTGTCAGTCGCTCTCGGTACTGTCGAGCCTCATCGCTGATCGATCGACTTCGTTCGGACACTTTCGGAAGCCATTTCGCCTCCTCTCTTTTATTCACAGAAGACACGAGAGAGCGTGAGAAAGCGCGAGAAATTGCGGGAGAGCTCGTAAAGTCGCGATTATCCATCCTCATGATTATTTATCAAGGATTGACTTTGCATTCCAGGCATCTTCATACATTATTTTATTTTAATGCAACGCCGGAAGAGACATCACGAATCTATCTCTGACGTTTCACATAGTGAACGTTTACATAATATTAGTTGTCTATTTGTGAACGCAATCTGGAGTTAATTTATAAATAATAATAATTTCAAGAGTTCACTACCAGAAAAAATTCCATGGCACACAAAAAAAACCTTAAAGCAAGACATAAATAGTAAGAGAATCAGCCTATCACAATACGCAGTGAACATAAGGCAATAACATAAACCCAAAATGTTAATTTGCATATCTCTTATCGCTTTAGTTTTTTGTATAGCACAGCCTTCTTAAATCTTTAAAGTTACAGCATCAAGTTTCCTTCAGTTTCCTTTCCATAAGTATTATGTGCTGCCATCTAAGAACAACTTATGGTACCAAAGTACATGAACATCACCAAGCGATCGAACATTTTTTAAAGTTTATTTATTTATACTTTTTATACTTTATAAAAGTTCATTTATTTACTAAATCTCAACATGTAAAAATTAATAAAAATTTATATTATTTTGTACTTGCATCTAAGTAAAAATTATGCTAAACGACAATTTAAGATTCTATTTTAAACCAATATAATTAAATGCATCGGCATATCCACTGGCTCCTACCTTTTATTAATTGATACCATATCCTCATGACTATCACACTCCGTTTGAGTGGCATAAATCTCTTTGTCTCTACAAATTGAAATGACCGAACGCTCCGACGAAATAACTCATCCAGGAGAATTCCGCAGTCGATGACCAATTTTCCCAAACCCATCGCTCGGTCCAGGGGCCCTTCTTATTCACCGTGCATACCGGAGAGCACCCGGATTATTTATATCGCAGCATGCGCTTTTCTACCACGGATCAACATCTTTCGTCGTTCGTTCCTCGTACGAGGCGAGACGAGACGAAGACAGGTACAAATCTACAGGAGGACGTTTCCCGAGCGTGCTTATCCCTCTGACCCCGCGGCATTAATAACATTTCACGAGATCTCCATGAGTTCCTCCTGCTCCTTCCTCTCCCTTACCCGCCCCCTCATGACCGCGAGGACCCCCCGTCGAAGAGATCGCGTCACTGACGTGTACCCTTCGCGCGGCGATCCTGATGGATACGCGGGATTCGATGGGAACAAAAGGATGTTGGTTTAACGTGGAAGGCGTGTTTGTTGTTTTGATGAGGTATAATGGGATGGATCCCGGGTGTTGATGCATAGCGCGTAGCGGGGTGCCGCGGACCCTGGCCGGGCCCCCGCTCATCGAGACCCCCGTAGACAGCGGCCGCAACACGTCCATCACGTGTCACGGTTATGTATTTAGACATATCTCACTATCATCTTGAGTATCTCCCTTCTCGTTCTCTTTCTCCCTCGGTCACTCTGCGCATCCTGCATCCTTGAATCCTCTCCCACGATTCCTTTTACCTTGCCTGACGCTTCGTTGTACAGCCATTCTGTCGCATGTTAATCAGGATTTTGTCCTACGTAGGAGAGAATTCATCGACCCTCAAGGAATTGGTTTTGTCAGAAAGCCAGGGTTTAGAGCAAAGATAGAACCTTGTGGAGAATATGTGTTATAATTCAAAAGTCAGCTTCAATACAGAATTTTAACCCTCTGGTTTAATCCATTTCTATGTTCATATTAAATATACATCTTTACGTCAATTTGTGTACGACAATTTTAATATGTGCACTCCTTTATTGCATCCAACGCAATTTGCTATCGAATTCGCTATCAGTATTCGAAATGCTGCATATGTTTCATCTTCATTAAAGTATAACTATATGAGGCCATTTTCTAAAATCTTTAGAAATCTTTAGAGTGGAATTTAATTCTAAAGAATAAATCTCACTCTTAAAACTTGACAATTGAGGCATTCTTTTTCAATTCAATTATCATTCTTTGTCACTCTTTAGAATTAATTTCCAGTTTAGATGTTTTAGAGAGATCCCAAATTTACTTTGAATTTATTCTGAATTTAAATTCAGATGATGATTAATTGAATGATTAATTGAATGATATAAATATGCAACACTCAGCCCTAGAAGAGCGAATTGAAAATAAAAGTTAACACTTTTACAATATGCATATGGAAGACCGTACTTTGCATTTTCTAGTAGCGGCCCAAGCATCTAAGGATCCAGGGAAGATAAATAAAGCTTTATTCGCGATCAATTGTGAGGTATCAAAACTTAGCACACGCGTTCGCATTTGCTTTCCAATCACTCGTCCAACCTGCTTCCTTTCATCACTCATCCCTTCAACTCTCTGTCCAATTTGCTGCGTCGGTATTCTCGTCCCCTTACTATTTCACCCGACGATTCATTAATCGATCCCGTAACAATCTCGTCTCCCTCCCGCCCTTGGCCATCGTACAATCCTCTTCTTCGCCACTGCGCGCTTCCTCGTTGGTCCCCATTGGTCCCGCCTGGGCGCCGCATATCGTTCATCCAGGCCCATATTTCAACATTAATTTCCCGGATGGTGATACATCGTTCGCATCAACCTGGCCTCGTATCAGTCCGGAGCTCATCATCATCCGCATCCCCTTTTTGCTCCCTCCCGCTGTCGCGCGCGCGCAAGGTTCTTCTCCTCTTTTATTTTCTTCTGCAGGGGCGAATAGCGACTTCTTTCTTGTATCTGAGAGAGAAACTATTTTAGAATAATTCGAATAGAAAAGAATTAAATGGACTAACTGCTTTATTACTCTATAAAATATAAAAAATATCTTGCTATCACACGTTTTGATATATAATATCTATTCGAGGCACGGAAAATGATACAAAGAAAAATATTTTAGTGAATATTGTATGATCAGATTTATTTCTATCTTATTTTTTCTCTCTGCACTTTTGTGACTTTTAAAAAATTTCAATCCTGAAATAAACTGCGCTGCGTTTAGCAAGCAGAATTATTTAGATCGATGAAGGCCTAAAGTCAGATTCCATTAAATTTTACATATCCGTCCCTGTTCTTACTCTTTATCTTCTTCTTTTCTGAATAATCACGCACTCGCCACAGCGACCCTCTCGATTGCTGATCGTTAATATCGGCCGCCAGGTAGTCTCTGTCGATTGAATTTTTTACTGGTGCTCACCGCGGAAGCCGCGGCTCAGACCGATATCCCATTCGTGCAGTTGCTTCTTAAGAGTAACAGACATTCACTTTAAATGTCCGCCATTCGTCATCGGACCCGCAATGCCAATACGATCCGACAGGAAATAGGACAGTATGGCCGCGGCGGGCTCCCTCTCTCCTTATATCGCGCGAAATGCGCGGCATTGATGATATTCCCCGTCGTTATTTCAATGATATCCTCGTCCGTTAAACGGTTTGCAATTTACAGAGACAAATGTGTTCTCAAACGATCTCTGACACCGAAGGTAGACACCGAACGTCAACTGTCCCAAAAGCATGGATGATTATCATCAAGGTTGATCGAGAAATAAGAAGGTCAGGTTGCAATCGAGACAGAAATAAATGTGAACGCAATCAAATGAGTCACAGATTATTTTCTTTACGTACAAAATATAACGTATGTATAAATGTTACGATTTTATATTCTATGAACACAAAGACAACATAGATAATAATGATGACCATTATAGAAAGATAAATAAAAGATAATGCATTAAGAATAATTTTGATTGTGTCTCAGCATAGCTAATTCAATATTGGAACACACACATACACACACACACACACATCTATATACATACTTTGCAAGCTATTATATTTAGTTTTAATTTTTGGCATCGAACAATTGCATAATTAGTGAATTACAATTTTACAAGAATTATACTATTCCTATCGCATCGAAAAATTATTATTGTATTATATTTACTCTTTTCTGGCCAATTATAAGGGATAACACCTCTTTTGAAGCCTCCCACCTCTCCCTGGATCTATGTATTACTAATTTTTTATCATGATTCTACGATTGTAAGCTAAAGATAGGTCAATCTCTGGACAGCGATAGTAGTAAATAAATTTTGGTTATGGTATTGTAACTATTAATAAAAATAAATACAAATCTGTAAAGGTATATGTCTGAAGACTTTATAATTCTTTTCTTTCATATGGAAATATTAACATCATCAAAATGAACTACAGAATCGACGCAGACAACTCGTGACAATAAAAATAACAAGCGAATTGAATGGCGATTTCAATCTTCTTTGAACAAAAGTTTAAAATGTCACATGGAAAATTACGAGTTGTCGATAGACTAATGGTTTTCAGAATAAACCTTTAGTTATTTAATTTTATTTGAATAATTTAATTTAATTTATTAATCTCGTCTTTCATTTCCTCTTTTCCGAACGATCATACGAGGGTCAATCCCAGATCATAGAGATTAAATTCCGTGACTCAAATAAGGATCGACGAACGCGCTGTTTTAAATGGTTATAGGCAAGTGTTCTGAAATCCAATCAAAATGAATTAAAGTCATGGTATGCGCGATAGAGCATTGGTATGGTTTCTGAAACGTCCATCTATGCCTTCTTTTTAATCCTTTTAATTTTTGTAAAATGAAGATTCCTGAGGCTTGGACGTAACAATATAAATCGATTATAAAAATATGAAGAACATGACACGCGACATTGTTTGCTAAAATATCATAGAAAATATCGCGATCACTCAGAATTGATTGTCTTTGCCGATTTGACTATAAAATTATTTGAATGTCCATCGACATCCTCTAATTCCCTCGAATAAAACTTCGCCGCTATCCTGGCTTGTCCTTCTAACTTCGGCATCATGGAGAAGCTACATTCCGCGTCTGCATCCACCTCGACAGGTTCCAATAACTTCAGCTTCAATTGTTCGTTCAGACCAGGCCCCTCGATAAGGAACGTACCCTTTCTCAAAGGAATTGGCAATGGATTGCGGAACTTGGCCGAAGCATGGAGAGTCTGACCGACAACCGCGTCGTTATGCAACTAAATGAGAAAATTTAATTTTTAATGTAAAATATTTATCGTATCTACTTACTCTCTATTTTTCTCTTTTACTTTTATTGCTTACAAATGTTGGTTACGCATATTCCGATAATTACCGTGATTTTAATGTCGGGTTTCCTAACACGGAAGTCATCCTGCGCGAAGTACTCGAAGTTCGTATCCTTCACGGTGGCTAAGCAGGAAATATTGAAAGCGCATTGATCTAACAATCTCGGGCTATATTCCTCCCAGGAAACGTCCATGCGAATTTCCTCGAGCACTCCTGGTCGCACCAGCCTGTCGATGTGCAATCTCTTCACCGGATCGCCTACTCGGCCGGTGTACAACACAGTTTCCACTCTCAGAATTACGGTCACACGGTACTCCATTGTCGAATGTCGATTTTTTATCAGTAATACAACGCTATCAGAAAGTAAGAAAGACTTTTAATTAATATCTCAGTAGAATAAAATTTGATAAAAGTGTTAATAAGCAAATAAAGACGTTTATATTTAACAGTTAAATTCAAGAAATGAATCTGAAGAATTCTATGTAATTTTTATATATTTTATTAATAATGCTATTATATGTATTATTGAGTATTATCTTGGCGTACAATTATTACAATTTAATTAAACAATTATTATTTAAAGAATACTTGCAACAATAGTAATATTCAATCAAAGTAAATACCTGAATGGCTGCCCAATTATGATATCATCGCGCAGTTCGAAAGTAAACATGACATCGTTGAACTCCTCATTGAGATAATAACGACTAAATAAAGATTCACTCTGGCGCAGCGCCTTCAGCATGGCAGCACGTTCTTCATCAGATTCTATATTGAAATTAAAAATGATTATTATTACTCTTATAATTAGCTTTATATTGAAGATAATACATATTTAGTATTATATTTAGTATTATATTGAATATAATATTAAATAAATTAGTTATCATATTAAATAAATATTTCAGGGTTAGATGAATTGGTCGTAATCTATGAGAATTCAAATAAAATAATGATCGATAGAATAACATGATCTTTCATTTCATTATGAATATATTAGGTGTTGGAATTAATTCGTAGCGTTTTACAAGTGATGGGAAGTACTTTCATTAATGTATTTTTTAATGCTCATGTGAAATAAATAACATTCTTTCATTAAAAACGCTACGAATTAATTCCAACACCTAATAGGTTGACACAAATATCAAAAATTTTGTTTTTTAAACATCCTGTAAGTGACAATATCTGCTCAATATTTTTTGTTGAATCCCACTTACTTTCTGGATACTTGTAAGTGTGCGTAATGTCTTCTCTTATCCATCTGCCAACCGCTTTCGTACTGATCAATTGACCGATGCTGCGAAATCATTGTCATTTAATTATTTAATGCAATCAGTTATCCTAATAATCGCGATGACAATTAACAGCACAGATAATTCATCATACATACCCGTACATATCCTTGCGAACTAATTTCAATGGCTGTGTAGGCCCGTTGTAACGCCAGTAGACTTTATCGGCGTTCACCTCGGCGAACAGGAACGCGTTGTCGTAAGGACGTAAAACTTCCCCTTTCTTCACGGCGGCCACCGACGCCGGTCCGCAACGATACGCTCCCTCACTCAGTTCTTGAGGAGTAGCATCGATCATCTGCCATCCTGAACAATCCGGCGACAAATCCAGTCGCTTCATCCATACTTCGTTCCAGACGTGGAAATTCCTACCATGGCGAAATTCAATTATTCTATTATCTTCTGCCATCAACGTTTCCTAATTTTTATTAATAATAAATCTATAGTGTTTTAAAGATAGTGCATAAAGATACCATTAAATTGCTTGTCTAATTGTAATATTACATTAATTGTAACCGACTTCAGTTTAAGACTGTATTTCAAGACCAATAAATAATCGATATCCAATTTGCTTAATTGGAAATTGTAAAAATTTACATAAAAATATGAAGCATCAAGAGACGTCTTGACTGAATATGATCTTCTTTACATATTTATATTGAACATTTCTCCATCGATTTTCACTCATTATTGCTATTATTTTTGTTTTGATTCTTATTACATTTGGTTACTTGCAAACAAAAGCTGAATGTTGTTCGCCTTTTCAAATTACCATATGGAATCGCTGTTGAGCTCCTCCATGATCTTGCCTTCCGCATTTACGAAGTAGTCCACAGTCAAGCTGCCCTGAGTATCATGCGCACTTGAATAATTGGTTACCACTCGACAGGGTATACCGAGAGTACGACAAATCGTCGCCAACACACCGGAGAAAACCCAGCACTGTCCGTACTTGACCGGTTTCTTCGTCTTGTAATACTGTTGAAGTATTTTCTGCGAACCCATCCATCTCGTAGGTGGTATACCGCCCCCGTAATCGTCCGACCAATTTCCCAGCACCGCCCCGTTGTCATCAGGAGAGTTTACCTAGAAACCGATACCATTTAGCAGCCGAAACTTCGCTCGTCCACTAAAGAAAGAAGTATATGAAAAGAACGGTTTGGTTGAAGTATATAAAAATTTAGATAGACACAGATCTGAAAGTAATTTTGTTAGATTTTGTTTGCAACTATCAAAATAATTATATAAAACGCTTAAGCTGGTTGCTAGAATGTCAAAACTTTTTGCAGCATTATTCATCATGCTTGAGTTTTTCTACATAATTTTTTTACACAATATTTTAATGATTCAACAACATTATTTTCAAATCTGTACATCTAAATTGTTAGATACTTTAGTAAAATCGTTCTTTCTGTGTACTCTAAATACTTTTTCGAGTTGGTTTTGCGGCGAAAGTTTTTTTTCCCAAATATTACTTACCGCAGCAGATAAACAGCGTGTTATGATGACCGGGTCATTCCTGCCAGAAACGCGGACCTTGCCGACATAGTTCATCAGGTGCAAGGCGCAATCTAAGATGTCCCGTTCGAATTGTGCGTACTTCCACACGGTGGGTCGTAAACGATTGTGACTGCCGCGCCAGATTAAACCATCCTCTGCCAACACGTACTCTTGACGTTCAGCCTCGCCATCCAAGTATACTACGTCGTCTGAAAAGCGGAAATACTCTGCAAAACTCGGAATCAACAATAACATGCATTACCGTGCGGTTGGAAAACCGACCGCTACAGACTATGCTTTATTTTTAGTAGTTATATAATTATGTATTATATGTGTCATACATGCGTGACGTTAAGCTTTCATAAGAATTAATGCGTCATATGTGACGTGTAAAATATGAGGATCGTAATGACAACAGTTGTTCATAAATTAGGATGTTCTATTATTAAAAAATCATGTATATTATTTTAATTTACAGACTTTTTTACTTTTTTATATAATCTTGGTTTTTTTATAGCTATTTTTTCCGTCATTCTGGAAGTTTGCATATTTCCTTGTGACAAAACTCCAGTTTATGATGTAAGGTAAACATAATTATAACAATACGGAGGCAATCTACAAGGCAGTGCCACTATCTTTGAGCAGCTGAAAAACGGATTCTATACTCCTATCACAAAGAAATATTCACTTTCAGATCGATGGGAAAAATGTGTAAAAAAAGTGGGATTACGTAGAAAAAACGTCTGTTAAGATTAAAATAATATCGTTAGTTTTTCAATAACAAAAAAAAATAATTTATAAAAAATTGTTCATTACTTTCAATGTGATCCTCTTTTATAATCTTCAGCTTCCCTACGCGTGCTTGGATCCAGAATATTAATTTGTAAAATGTCCATTAGTTATCTAATCTTTGTTGGAAAGATTAGAATATTTGCAAACACATACCTCTGCACCACGGATTACAGATTAAATAAAATGGCTGATCCATCGTGTAACTGACAGCACCTTCAGATTCCTTGTTCTTGGTATCGATATCCATTTTCCACCTACCTATAATTGCGTTTGCCGATGTCACAACCTAAATAGGACAGATTTCATTAATAAGGAGCCTTATCCATTTTAATTCTTCCCTAGTTTCATATGCGTACGTTCAACGTTCTCAAATTAATTAAGACGAATGTCGACGATTTTAATATTGCAATTTGCGAGACACCGATAATTCAATATACAAATTCAATTATTTTAAATCTATTTTACTTTAAGAATAGAACATTAATTCTAACGTAATTATAAAACTGTTTCATATTAAAATTACAAATTTGTCAAGCCTAATTAAAGTGTTAAGTCCCGTGTTAAGTCTAATTAAAATCAAATTTTCAATAGTAAAAGCTCTCACAAGATCTCGCACTTCAACTCCTTTACTCGCCTTTATTCTCAAGAAATTTGGTCCTCTGGCATCTATAGTGGTCTGCCAGGCGGCTTCCGAAATCTCTCCGGGGTGAAGCAAAGCGGTTGCCACCAATGTCCCGTGTCCATATTGCGGTCTCTCGACGCCGTCCAGGGTGAACACGATAGAAACCCCGTCGATAGAAGAACTATAATCCCGAGATAGACTGAGATGCAAATAAAATTCTTGACCACGTCTAACGACGAGTCTTGTTCTGTCATCCTGACGAGTCATCAGCTCATATCTGGATGTACGATGATTTTCGCCGTTTTCTTCGATGCAAGGGTCTACATTGTGGATTGTTAATACTGGAACGCCGAAATCCTCCCCTGCAAATGACAACGTTCTTAATCCCTTGAATATCTATGACGTCTATAGATGTCATGAACTAAAAAGATTCTGAATGTCTGTGATATGTCTGTCTATAGACGTCACGGAATAACTTGTCACTCAAGTGATTAGGGATTACAAATAATTAGGTACAATTATATAAAAAAAGTTACTAATAGAAAGCTAAAAATTATCATTTCTATCCTAATGAAGATAATAGCAAACAACAATTAAATCACAAATGTTTGTAAAATCTTGAAATAAAATGGCATATTGATCAGTTGCAGAAATAGCTTCAATAATCGAAAATTACATGATTGAAGAATTTTTCTAAAAAAGAAAATAATATCGAAGACACATAATAATGAAAAATAAGATTTTATCAGATCTGTCCAAACCATACAAAATTTTTTGACCACGAAGAAGATTCGAATAAAAACATCCAGTCGTTTCTAGACCTAATAGGGAATACTTATTTATTATAGAAGGTTTATAAACAATTTTTTTTAAATAGCTAATCTTTTAAAGTCGAAGGGCTACTTGGAGGCGAGCTTCATTCGAGAGAGTAATTATTGAATCAAGAAAATTTATATATGATGCACACAATTGAATCAGAAAATTTATATATTAAGATAAGAGAAGAAGAAAAATAGAAATAATGTGACAAATCAAATTTCAAAAAAAACTTAAAATAACAATAAAAAATATATATTTCAAAGCATGCGATATTAGCCATATCAAGAGACACGAATGTTTCCGATGTCAAGTTAATGGATAGACTCTCGAGATCGTATATACTCGAGCAATCGATTTGCGAACACCGAGATTATCAGTCTTCAATAACGTCTGAACTGATCGAGTAAATAGGCTCAATGAACGGCTTGGGTTCGAATTACATAATAAAAGTACACTAGAAAACGATCCTATTTAATTAATTGGAATTCTGATAAATTCAATCAGAAAGGTACAATATAAATTAGATATTTATAATTAAAGTTCAAACATTCTAGAGATAACTAAAAATTTAATTGTAATAATCAAAAATCTGATTCTTACGATCAGAATTTGTTTTATTTATATTTGTTAGTTCAACAGTAGTGTCGCTGCATTTGGCTTAGCCCCGAGATGCTGCCATGTCTTCTGACCAGAATGTTCTTTTCTCAGAGTGTGTTTTTGAAATGTATGTCCCATAGACTAACACGATTGTAAGTTATTATATGTACGTGGAAATTATATATGAAATATTATAAAAGACAGTAAAACTGCGAAAATAACATGGGAACAAAAAATTTCGTATATACCTCTGTTTTTCTTTTTTTCAACGAGAGCAGAATGTTGTAGCTCAGAAGCTACACTATCTTACGAGTAGCAACGATCACACCGCGTTCCCGAAATTTCAATAATGCAAAATTTGCAAATGCGTCCAACTTCATTTTTTCTATAAGATTACATATATCTTTTATAATCCGCGAGAGACTCACAATAGAATCTGAACGGAAATGGTCGAGTACGCCGATCGTTGAATATCCGGTAGCGATCGTAGAATCTGTAAAACATCCCGCGACGGTCCGGGTGCATCGGATGTCCCGGCTGCGGATACGAACGAAAACCTGGATACATGGATGAGGAACGCGTCGGACGCGAGTTCGTTGAATGACTGAAGAACCTGCAGCCACAACGAGGAGGAAGGAAGAATATGTAGCTGAGGTGGGTCGTTGCAGTTGAGGTGGGTCGCTTCTAGGAGCAATCTCAAGGGCGTACGTGCTGCAATAACATGCGCGACCATACATGGCGTCATCGGTGACACCCGCAGTAGGAGTCACCCACTTTTCGTTTTCCCATAAATTAATCGGCGATTTATAACCGCAATTGAGTTATAATACATCTTGAGAGATTAAAATCTATTTTCTTGAGTTCCTTGAATAATGTCTAATTAGAAGATATTTTAATAGGAGACAAATCTGTTCCTTATCATAAAATTAATATTATATTATAAAATCGGTACAATACACACACATACACACACACACACACACACATACTTAAAATTTTTATATAATGTATTAAAATTTAGGTATATAAATTGTTTATTATTATCTGATATTTATTAAAATTTCTGACAATAAAATGAATGCAAAATTTTATTTTACAAGCTGAAGATTCCGATCGCTGTAATTAGATTACAGAAAGAGTAAAATTATTATTAAAATATATTATATAATTATTTATTAAAATATTTCATATATATTAGGTATCTCACGCAATATATAACATTAGATAATTTTTATTGAAACTGTGATTATTTTTATTTGAAATTTATAATGGCATAATTATAGAAATTCATCAATTGTAATAAAAAATGACATACTCTTATTTTTAATATATTAGAGATGCAATTTTGAAAAATCTTATTATCATTCTTAACATCTATACTGTTTTCACAACTAATCTGGGATATATTTGTAACTTATGAAACTGTAAATATAAAAACAATTACATCCCTTCTACAATAACAGCAACTAGACGATTTGGTTCAGCAATATATAACTTCAAATATTAAGCACAATTGTATTTCCATTTTTTTATTTTTTATTACTGTGTAATTTTAAATTTCAAGATTTATTTTCTTTTATTTTTACAAATTTAACTTTTTTATTTAAAATCTCTTTAAAAATTCTTTTCTTTCTTGAGATAGTTTTGCAAATCTTTAGTTTTAAAATTACTTTCGACGAATTGATTCCGACAAAAGAAAAACTACAACAATTATATTTACAAAGATCGATGCGAAATCGATTACATGACGGCATTTCATAATTTACGAATTACGCGAATTATTCTGTGCAATCAATTTAATAGCACAGTATAAACCTACATTCATTAATTATACCAATTAAAGAAAAGTCATTAAAACCCACTACGATTTAAAGAAATGCGACATGGTCGTTTTCGAAATTTACATGAAACAATCGATTCCTTAGATAGAAATATCCCACAAGTTAGAATGATATGGTATCTCTGTGATTAATGATCAGAAAAAAACATTGATCATCATCCTGGAATGCGTGCTATAACATGCAATCGCACAAGATTCTCGCATTTAAATAACAGAAGCGGTAATTAAGCTATCTATAAAATAGCACGTTTCTCTTCAAGAACACATGTAAGAAGAAATCACTTTATTATCGCCTATTTGCGATTTCCATTTTGGTTGACTTGATACAATTTAATTCAATGAAATCGACGGTTTATAGAATTTCAGGTCAACTAGAGAAATCAAGCTTTACCGTTTACGGGAAGACAAGGTGGTGGCTCCGTATTAGTCGGGGTGATTTACGACACAGACGATTTGAAAATGTGTCCTTCTCGTAATAGTATTCAATGACACCGATAATTCTTAATGCACGACATGAAAGGATGGTTTTCATTCAGATTTGATATAATCAACTTTGTATGACAGCGCGATAGCTTTTAATTCATTATGCTACTTCTCATTCCAACTACACTGTCATTAGAAGCAATTGATCTGCGTCATATACTTTTTGCATGTGTCAGTCAACTATACATGTTGTTTAAGACTTGAATTATGTTACTGCAAAATATTATTTGAAGACAAACGAGATATCAATAGAAGTGGAGATATTTCAATTAAGCGGAAACATTTTTAGAACATTTTAACTATTAAATAGAAATATTATTACATCATGTTTTAGCACAGAATTTTAATAAGGTTGCAAATGATCACGTTATTCTTGTCGCATTATTCAATCTGCGTATAACAATAGGCGCTCCATTTGTCATTGTAATCAGCTTACTTCATCGGTCTGAATACGAAAATGATGGTGTTCAAATGACTCAGTCACGGGATAATACATCACATGATATGTATCATGGACATGTGTAAGTATTTTATTACAAAAATAAGAAATCTATAGAACAACCATATAGGGTGTTTTAGATTGAATTGTTTGCTTTTGGTCAGTTTTTTTTAATTAATTTAAAATTAGGTAATATTTAAATTTTTAGTTAATTTAAAATTTAAAATAATTTATAATTAATCTTCTGATAATGTTTTTAAAAAACTGGATCTTGAAACTAAACTTGAAATTAAATGAAAAAAATGAAGTTAGACTATTTTTACAAAACACAAAATGCATTTTTTTTTATGCGACGAACATGATAGAACGTGAATAATTATGACTCGGAAGGACGCTCGATGCAATTTTCCAATGCATTTTTTGCGTCGATTCTTTCTGAATGATAAAATTAGAATTCCTATCGGGATCGCATGTCTTGCACTGAAAAACATGTGCAAGCGAAATGCTTGTCAACGAGAAATTTGTTGTTTTGATTATAAATATACGTGGGGATGTCTTAATGATTGCTCGCAATCGGAAGAAGCATTGTCTACGCGATAATAACATGTAAATTTCTGTAACTGAGAGACTGAATGGGAAGCAGAAAAATACAAATTCAAAAACATGTACATGTGATGAGCAATTTACATAGAAGAGGATGAGTCAACGAAGAAAGTTATCTGAAAGAGCGTGACTTAAAGAAGAAAATGCTTGATGAGAGTCTCCAATGGGTAATCATGAAAGCACGATTCAGCGAAGCTTTCGTGACTAATCTTCCGGTCAGTTTACGATTAGAGAAAACTTTGAAGAATTTTGTGAAATTGTATCTCACTTAACGTAATAAAATGTAAATTATTTTGGACCAGTTTCACCCTCTTTGATTAATTTAATCGATCGATTACATTTAAGAATTGCAAACTTAAAACCAATTATCTCTAATCTAATTTCTTAATTATTTTAATTTTATATATTAAATAATTCATCTAATCAAGATGGCTAATCGAAGATAGTGAAATCAGCCTATAATGCGGCCCATAATTTTTTTTAGAGAATAGTGAGCAACTATTATATACTGTACATTACTTTTTCTTGATTCTTAAGTTTGAAAAAAACTAGAATGTGATATAAAATATTTTATGATAACTTGAGCTTTAGTTAACAATTTAAATACATTTAATTTGTTCATGAATATTTTCATGAATATTTGAAGAAAATTAGCGATAACAAACACAATTATATATCGGCGAAAGTGATGTCATCTTTTAGTGGTCACGGCGCGCTGCTTGCGTAATTTCACTTTCATTCGTGGCGATGAATGAAGCCACTGATGCGCGAGTTCAAGACCCCATTTTAACATTTTTGACAAATGAGATTATAAAAATTCCTTAAATAAAACGCGCAGAATTGATTTGCTTTTTTAGTTATTTAACAGTTAAATAATGTATATTATAATGTATATTATAATATACATTCTTTTCCCAAGAATGTTAGCGGATTATATATGCATATTAGGATATCTATATATATCTTCGGCACATGATAAATAGCACTCGCGAGACAATTATACCTAATGAATAATACCGCCGTTTTTAAATATATATGATCATAATGAAGGCCGGCGCCTCACAGAAGAGATGGAAGCTGACACTTCCCATCTGGAGTTTATTTTTTCAAACGGAGAACACACGATAATTCGAGCGAACAAATCACGCTTTGTATCAATGGAATCTACGTTTATTAGCAAACTATACGATCGCTTATCAGAATATAGAAGTTCTGTGTTGAGAAAATGTAAAATAATTTAATATGTCCTTTTATGTTTTTCAAGAAAATTTTATTGAATTATTGGGGAGAGCAAAATATTTTTTTTCTAACTCAAGTGAAAACAAAAACTTGCAGATAATAAAAGTACTGAGAAATTTGAATATAGATATGAATATACATATATTTTTAACTTTTTTAATTTTATATTTTTCGACGAATTAAAAATCAATATTACATAATAAACTATATAATCAATGATACTTTGACTCGAGCAGACGATAATAAATATCTTTATGTTATTTCAATCATTTGATCACTCATCTCAATCGTTCAATTCCTGTAATTCGCGATAATAAAATCATCGCTTACGTATCAAATTATCTTATTTTTTTTTTTCTTCTTGAATGATGACATCATACATTACATATAAACTAACATCAACTATTCCTTGTAATTTTTATCGCACTCAAAATCATTAAGTAAACACACGGCACATAAAACTTATAGCAACATCGTCCCTGACCAATATTCTGAAAATAGCCTTTAGGGTATACCGGAAGAGTACTTCGCTTCTTGACTGAACTGTTAAGATTGATATAACATGATTCGGTTGTTCAACTCTTTACTGATGTGTGTTGTATTCAAGTTTTTTTTTACAACATATTCTAGTAAATTTAAAAACATGCTCAACTTGATTGATTGATGTTCTGATTAATTCTCTTATCCCATATTTGTGAAAAAAGAAATGATGTACCTTCAAGAGCAAAACAAAAAAACAAGAAAAAAACAAGAAAATTTGTATATTAATTTGTTTTAAAACATTTTAATAAACAAAAATTAATCAAGTATAAAACTAATTAAATTATTTGCACGTTTTGGTGAATGTAATCCTCTACAATTAGTAACCTGTTTATAATGTATGAAAAAAAATACAATATATCTTCAAAAATTACACATAATCCTCTTGATTATGTGTAATTTTTGAAGATATATTGTATTTTTTTTGATTATGTATATGAAGAAAACAAGATATAACTTCAGAAATTACCTAATAAATAATAAAATGTATATAATTATGTATATAATCTGAATTAATATGAGAATTATTCATAACTAACAATTTAAAATAATTTTAACAAGTAAGATTTTTAGACATTGTAAAATCGTAGAATTGAAGAAATCCGGTGTTAAAAAGCTTCGCGATAATTTGCATCATTCATTTACGTGAAAAATTTACAAATCTGAATGATGCGCATCACTGTATTATCTGCACCTCGGAGGGGCACCTCTCGCTTCTGTTTATAATGATTTACTTATTAAGTGTATAATACAGGTCGCATTATTTTACGCTCGCGTGATTCATACATCGCCGACGTTCGTCTATTTTATCTGTTTTATTAATTATTTTTCATCTCGCCCGCGCACACCGACCTCTGTTCTCAGAGAGGTCAATTGACTACGTACAATATCAGACTAGATACATTTCGTTATCGAGATTCATTCGATCGTGAATTTTGCAGAGCGATATTACATTTGCTCGAGTAAGACACAACAAAAAGATCACTCGGCCTGACAAATTCAATTATTGATTAAAGAAAATAATGTCGTATTTTCACCGAAATACTTTTATTTTATTTTTACATTATCCTGTAGTTTCTAAACAAATAGATAAATTTAGACAGATATCACTATATAATATATATAATTTTCAATATATTGTACAATATTTTGAAACTAAATTAATATTTAAAAAATGAAAAAGAATGAAGAAAAAATAAAAATAAAATAAAAAGGAGAAAATAAATATTGTATACAACAGAAAAAAATATAAAAGAATAAAATGAAAATGAAATAAAAAAAATTATCATCATTTTATATAAATAAGTCTGTTGTATTCCGATTCTCACAAGTTACGTATACAGGGCCAATTAAAACAATCGAGTAAATAATTATGTTTGGCTTTCAATAATTACAGACATCGTGCTAATAATAGTAGATGTGTATTACTTCACTTTTGATAAATATATCCGTAAATATTGTATATCATCCATCACTCTCGATAATGTGAGACGAGAAATCGGAGAGGGATCCGTAAAAATTGATTGACTCACGTATTAGAAGTGAGCACGCAATAACTGTTCGGAACAAAGGGAAAATAATATTCTTATCTCTCTTACGATTTTTTAGCTCCTTTTTCTTAATGCAGTCTAAACTTTCGATAGATATGCAGATAATCGTAATCCCGCAAGAATATTTAGCTCGCCCCGGGAAAACATTAAGGACGTAATCTATTCGAAAAGTTACTCCTTTTTCCTGAACTTTTTAATCAGCATTAATAAGAATAGCAGGCATAATTAGAATTTTTTCTTAACTATATTCCATACAAATATATAATAATGTTAATACGAAATTAACATTAATACGAAATATACTGAAAAACAATGTAATAAATTTTAATAAATATTTGTTTGAATAATATTAACTAAATATTTATTAAATGTAAACGTATATTTAATATAAGAAACTTTAATTTGATTTAATCAAATGTATCATTTTTTAAATAAATATTGATTTACTCGTTGTATTATTGTAAATGTTTAATTAATATACTATTTAAACAAATATTTATTAAAATTTAGTAATTTTTTTTCAGTGCAATATATTATTTTTAAATAAATATTTTTTCAAGACCAGAATGTTTATGTAATGTTCGTATCATTATTGATTGTTGGATCGATTAGGAATTAAAGAATAGAATTAACTTACCGAGGGCAGTAGATAGTGGTCGTGGCCCGATTTGTTGGGGCCTGAACACGGCTCTAAACCCGGAGAGACATGAGCACGAGCAACACCTTTTTATCATAATTAGTCGCGAACACAAACGCTATTTCCAATAAAACTTCCTCGTCAACTATAAATCTACGTTTTATTAATCATGTCTAATAAAATGTTCATTAATTTCAATTTTCATCATTTTTTAATTTTATAAGTTTCTTTTGAGTGACATTTATGAAGATTCTGCATCCGTCAGGCATGAAATTCTAAAAACAATTAAACAGTTTTATGATTTGTAAACTTAGAAATAATTACATAGTATAATTATTGTGAATAGTTATTATTTTAAAAAATCTAAGACTCAATGAATCACAAATTACAAAAGTATCTATAAAATGAGCCGAAACGTCTGGAACTATTTATGACACGTAACAATCTTTTTTAATAAATTACTGTTTTAATAAACAATAAATTTTACTAAAGATTTGTAATAAATTTTGTATAAATTTGTATATGGTATTATTCAGGTTTTTATTACTTAAAAATAAATTAGAAAATTATCGTAAGTAATTTTTTTGTAATAGCATATTATTAAAAATGAGTACATACAATTTTTTATGTTTATTAACAAAATATATACGTTATTTTTTTTTTAATACTACTATATAAATTTGTCCATAAACATATACATATTAATATTTTAATTTTCCCGTAATTATAAAATTTCTTTTAAAACAAACTTCGAAATGTAATTCTGTACCTGTGAAATAATAATCTAAAATATCTTTCTTTTATAAATGAGACTTTGCACGATATCACATCACTGTACACATCCCGAGCGCGTGTGAGTACGAGATGATTAAAACAGCGTGTCGACCTCCGTACTGAGTTGTCGAGCGACTGTCAGCGAAAATCAGCTGCCATTGGCAGCGAAGCAAACGACAGTATCTCCCGCCAGTCTTCGATTAACTTTTAGGAAAGACGGTTTAACAGTAATGATATGCGAATATATACTAATGTAGTACCTTTTATGCAATACTGTTTAGACACGCCTCTTCAGATAAAGTGGATGCTGCGCTCGTTAATGACTCCGTTGCTCCTATGTATTTTTACTATGTAAATTGCTATGTTATACCTCCGTGTTATTTATAAAATGTTACAAGGATACATAAATATCAATCTTTATCTAAAAAAATTGGGTCGTATGGAAATTTTTATTTTATAAAAAAATCAATATTATTAGAGAAATGAAATATTTATTCAAATGTAATAATATATTGTACTTGTTAATATCATAAAAAATTAAGTTCAGAATAACAAAATGATCTAGGTCACATTACTACATAAATAGAGAAAGTAGGAAAGATTAATACGTGCGGTCGAAACTCTAGATCTTACAATCAATAATATTTTTATATGTAAATTCTGAATACAACTTTTATTTTTCGTAATAATTCTTTTATAGATTTTAATCGTATTGTCATCAAACCAGCGATCAATTTAATTGTGATATTAGTTCAGTTTCAGTTTATGATTGCATTTCAAGTCCGACAGTAAGCTAAGCGCAGTTATTTAACTGAAAAATGTATTTATTGTAGAATTTATATATAAAAATTATTACGCATTAGTTAGTATATTATTACACACTATTATTACGTTTCAACCTATTGTTTTTTTTTCTTATTTAAATTAAGAAATTTGTTAAGTCAAGTTGAATTAAAATTAAGTACAAATAATTTAAGGAAAAATTTAAATTAAATTAGGAAACATTTGAAATACATAGTCGATTATCAAATGTGAATCTCTCTTTTACAGAATGAGAGATTATACGTGCGCGTAAAATTATTATACTTAAAATAATATATACATAATTAACGATTATATATACACTGTGAGGAAGAAGTAAATAATTTAGTACACGAATTGCTATGTCGCGCCTATATTAGTTAGCGTTTGATAAAAGGCATACTAATGTAAACGCGCATGACAGCGTGAGTAAATGATAGCGAGGATAATACATATTTTTAGCTCTTACGTAACACGTCACGCAGGAATTTGTTCTCTGAATTTCGTAAGTCAGTTCAGTTTCCGTGGCGGACGTGCCGAGACACTTATGAATCTTCTCCTATTACTCAGTCAAATTTAGAATAAATATAGAAGTACAAAATGATGAAAGCTCTTAAATAAACAACATCGCAAGAGCTGAGAAAAACAGATTCCATATAATGAAAACATAATCAGAAAAATATAATGTAAAAAAGAAAAATTATATTCCTGGTTGAATTGAATGACTGCAGCTTTGAGAAGTCTTAATCAGCTTCCACGTCTTGCTTGAGAGGCAATAATTAATTAGCATTTAACTCTTCTTATCATCTTATCTATACAAAAAATATATAGATAAAAATATACATAAGAAATATAAATAAGAAAAATTACATTTTATATAAAACTTCATTACATATACATTCCAATAACGCTATTTACATATCAATGTATTGCAATCATACACTTAACGATTATTCGGTAGCAAATCCATTGTAAAATTATCATCTTGCCACGTTTTAGTGGTATCTTGGTTGTCCTCTATCACAATTACTCCAACATGATTGACCATAACATACAGATATGAATATTCATAATTGCCATACGCATTCTGTAATTAAAATTGAACATATCACCAGTAAACATATCATTTTCAACTACAAACTTAAGCCTGAGAATGAAAAGCACAGGCAACAGTAACAGAGTATAACAAATTTCAACCTCTAATCAAATTATATATTTTTCATTGAAATTTCTTATCTTCTCTATGTATATTCCTGTTATCTTTTCAATTGTACATTAAGCCTTACCTCTTTCACTTCTGCATATACTGTTCCCTGCCTTCTTGTTCCTTGTACATAAAATCTTATTCTCATATACTTCACGCCATCTTTAATGTAATATGTATGACTAAAAAAAATATAAATACAGAGATATCACAGCAGGATTCATATACAAAATGTATATCTAGAGTGTATATATATAAAAATGTAAAAAAATTCTTTATCTGGACGTACGTGATGTGTCTTCTACGTCCACGTCGAGTTTCATCTCCAAAAGCCTTTACAGGTGCTCCAAGAATATCTATGACCTTTGGATGTTCTATACAACGGACACGAGCTTCACTGTAAACAGAATATGGACTTTTGCTAGAAAATAGCTCCGAAAATAGGCCATAGAACATAAAAACAGTAATCCCAATGCCACTTATTATTACTCCAAGATATCCAGCAGATTTCAAGTTTTCTTTAACTAAAAAAAAGAGATAAGACGAATATAATCATTATACGAAAATAATACGTAATACAGAGATCATGTGAAATTTACCTTCTGCAGTGCCAATCTGTACCTTATTATTAGTTTCATTGGAGTCTACCTTAGTTACAGATTTCTTCATTGAATAACAAACACTGTGTTTAATGCTAGGAACAATATTAAGACAATATGAAGTGTTTGGCATATGCATGAACAAGTGCCTTCTCTGAAGAATGTGATTTAATGCTCTTGCTGATGCCATATTCTAAAATAAAAAAATATTTTTTAATAACACAAAAATATTAAATTCTATAAGAGCTTAATTTAAGGTTAATTTAAGGTTAACCGGTTCTTTGCCATACAAAAATGCCAGCAAGCCAATGTAAATATATACAGTAATCTCTTGTTCTATTCAAATTATATTATTTTCATTATTATCATTAGCAAATTATTAACACTTACATGACACAATTTACGTACTGACTTATATACAAGAAAAGAAATACTAAAAATAAATTCTTATTAGAAAATTCTCTCAATCACTTTATTGCCACTTGTCAGTAGTCATGAACAGTATTCTAATATTCAAATCTCATATTCAAGATCATCTTGATGATATTATATAAACATTTCATTAATTCCATTGGAATGGAAAAATCATTGGATGGAAAAATTTTAAAAAAATTCAATTTAAATACAAGATTAAACCGATGTTTATATAGCAGTATTCATATCCTAATTTTACATTTAAGATCATTTCAAATACGAAATGCTACAATCATTGGCTGCGTTTAGCAAAGAAAACTAATCAGTGCTTAGTAATTCTTTAATTTCTTACAATTGGTTGCTACACTTAGATCCAGCGAAGAGCTAACGGCAAGAACCAACCATATTAAAGAATTACTAAGCGCTGATTAGTTGTTTCAGTCATTGGCTGAATGAAATGGAATTGTAAGATGATATAATTATAAGATCAGAATTCAGACGATTTTAAATACAAAATCATATGATTGCTAATAATTCTTAAAAAGAATTATAATTCTAATATTATAATTTTGATAATCTTTTTCAAGTTTTCTGATCAAATAATTTATATTCCAAGATTTATATTTAATTCAGTCTTAAGTAAGACCAATTTTATTATCTCCAATTGATTGGTCGACAAGTATCATTGTGATTAGCCAATTCTACTCAACTCTGCTTATAGATGCAATTGGTTAGTTTCAATTGAATCAGCAGATTAATTCGGAGATTCTTTAAATAATATTTACTATGGGCGGTATTCATAATCTGTTTTTATTTTAAGATCTTAGGTCTTAAGATGTTAATACAATCCTCTAATTGGCTTATGACATCTTAAGTCCAATATGTGTAAATTGCGGATATTTATGCAAAATACTTAACTGAATATTTTGCATAAAATGCATATTTTGCATAAATTGCATATTTACAGATAGCAGTCTCAACCTTTTTACTTTACTTTTTAATAACTTTTTAACAAATAACTATCAACTGCTAAAACTATCTGATATTCAGTTAAGTATTTTGCATAAATATCCGCAGCCTATTCATGTGTCATATGATAAACTTTTTAAGTGTGTTGATTGGTTACAAAATAAAGAGGTTCTCGGACTTCTCCTGCAACCAATCAAAAGCCTTGTCCATATGACACTTGAAATATTAACCTAAAACTTAAGACAATCTTAAATATATTAACTTATAAATACAAATATCAGCCAAAAATATGTCCAAATTATATTCACATCATGATATCATACTACATATATCGAATATCATACGCAGTGTAAATCCTACATTATGATGGTAGCAGAGCATAAACTTGAAAAATCCTAGAAATTCCCTATCACAACCAATTAGCATCCTGAACAAAATCCAAGTTGGAATACCAGCTTAAAATGATCTTGCTCATCAAAACAACTGCCTTGTTGTGTTGAATTATTTGACTTGAAAGGTTAACAGCAGAACAACAATAAAGAAGCTTCCTAAATTTAATTACGCTTAGATAAGATTATTAATGAAGACAGCACATCAGAGATTGGTTATGGTTGGCGATCGTGATGGGTAAATGCAACGTATCAAAATTTTGTATATTTAGGCTATGTCTAAAACTTCCTCTCCGAGGAAGATTTTACTTTATATGCTGTAATATACGTTACATGTACTATATATTTCAAGTAAAATTTTCCTCAAAGAGGAAGTTTTGAAACGTAGCCCTACATCAACATTTGTTAACTTCAAATAACTTTCTCAAGGTGAAATGCGAATTACATTTTGTGATAGTCAGGATTTTGATTACTAGAGAAAATTTTCAAATATAATTATTTCTTATCTAAAACAAAATATTGCATGCCCATAAAATTTATTTCCAGACTGAAAGAATTGTTGAGGCGCAGACTAGTCGAGTGTGGATGGCGAGATCAAGTGAAGTTAATCTCAAAGGAAATAATAAAAGAGCATGGCCATGATATCTCTTATGACACGCTATTGTCCACAGTGACTAGCAGAGCTCGCACGCTTGTGCCGGATTCTGTGAAGAAGGAACTATTACAAAAGATAAAGAATCAACTGTTGGCTCAAGAAGAGAAGCTGAAAATTGTGACAGATCGTTAGAAATTTTATCATTATTAATCAACAATTTTTCAACAATACTTTCTCAATAACAATTACGTTAGATATACCTGTAAGAAACATGAAGAACTTTTTTGTGAATTATGCTTTTCTAACAACTTATTGCGTGACACACTATAATCATTTCGTTAAAACATTCAATATATAAAAACAACTTTTTATAAAGTACAAAATGTGATATTTACTTAATTATGATGTATGTCTAATAGATTAAGATTTAATTGCCTGGTGAAAATTTTTCTCAGAATTTTTATGTGAATTGGAACACTTCAGAAATACTTATTGAGAAAGCCTACCTTCTTGTGTTCTTAAAACTTTTCATATATGTGAATTCTGAAATTTAAAAAAATTTCTTATATGTGTGAAAAAATACCTTAAATTTTTTCAGAGTTTATAAGTTTTCAGAAATTATAGAATGAGAAATTTTAGAATATTTAAGAATTTCAGAAAAAAATGCAGATTTCTTAGCACTTATGAAAAGTTCTAATTTATATTAAAAAATTTAAGAAATTTTTTTAAAAATTATAAAATTGTTCAGAAATTCTAAAGAATTCTGAAATTTACATTTAAAAATTACATAAAAATTAATTGAATTTTCTGGAAAATAATAAAAAATTCTGAAAAAAATTTTCGCCAGGATTATATTTAAAGTAAGATTTGAAGGAATGTAATCTGTAACAATATTTTATAGATATTCTTAAATGTACAAAATATGTGAATAGAATATAATTTAATTTCCTAAATAAAGAGCTGAAAAAAAAAACGTAGTTTTATTCCGTAATAACGTTTGTCGCCAGCAGACGGCGACACGACGCAAGTCGATGAATTAGGTTAGAGTCGTGCAGTAAAGTGACAGTATTTTGCGATTCATAGATTTTCGCCTACTCATTTTTTCTATAGCGTCGGTGAGTCTTAACCGGTATATACTATCGTGAAAATTTAGCGTAGTCGTTAATAATTCAACGATGTTGATAAAAGTGAAGGTAATTATATTGATCCTCGATTTGTCCACGAAATTCACACCGGCTTGTAACTCATTTTAATTAATTTTCATTTCAGACTCTTACAGGGAAGGAGGCAAGTATCTTAAAATCAAACGGTTTACAAGTGATGTATATATCGAAATATAAAAGCCTCCTTTTTATCAACGATAGCTCGACTTTGCTCAGTTACTATAAAAAAACAACCTGACACCTCAGTCTATTTTGAAACTGTTAATTGTTGTATCTTAAAGATTTCTGAATTTAAATTTCAGAAAGTTATAAAGCTATGTTATACGGAAAAAAATAAACTTGACCTTTTCATTCTGTTACCATTTTTATTTATATTAGTTAAAAAGAAAGTTATTATATTTGAATCAAGAATGATATCTCATTCTCTGAGCTACTATTTTTTCAAGTATAATGTGCTATTTTTCATATAAATATCTTATTTATTAATTCAAATATAATCTTGATTTAACTTATCCGTCATCTTTTTCTAATTCTTAAATTTAGAAAAAGATGATTAAATTGAACTGAAATTAATTAAAGTTAATTTACATTGATGGAAACAAGCATAAGTTGTATCTAACAATAAGTAAAAACAAAAATATATTTATTATGTATAAGTCTTCAGTTCAATATTAATGTATAATTTCTTTAGATCGAAATAGATATAGAACCAACAGACAAGGTAGAAAGAATTAAAGAAAGAGTGGAAGAGAAGGAGGGAATACCACCTCAACAGCAGCGATTAATATTCTCTGGCAAACAGATGTACGTATAAGTATTATCATGATTTTATGACATATTTGCATGAGACAAAATTTCTTTAATTTGTGATTGATGAAGAATTGAATTTGTGATTCTAGAACTTTTATATTAACAAGGAAGGTTCATTACTGCTAGTCGCAGATCTTGGCTAGTGAATATCATTATAAAGCATGTATCAAGATGATCGCAGATATATGGATTGTTGTCTCTTGAATGAATTACAGTATGATACACAAAGTATGCAACATCTATGACAACAAAGTGACTAGGTATTGATATATATGGGATTCTTACAAATAATGTCTGAGACTCATTTTTATAAAATTTAAAAACATTTACATGAGCCCCAAACATAATAATCTATCATGTCATGTCATCACAATAAACTATCATGTCTGAGGTTCTTGTGAATGTTTTTCAACATAGAAATGAGTCCCAGACATAATTACTATCCTGGGAGAATCCTATATACATTAATACTTAGTCACCGTATATCTGCAATGTTGATACTCTGAATAGAGTCAATGTAATGCTACAAATGCTTTAAAGCGTTTTTTGATTGGTTAATCTGTACGATTCTTTCTTCTAATTGATCAGTCAAATGCTTCAAAGTATTTTGTAATGAGACTTTGACTGCAGCTTCTATATATCATATTAGATTTGTTCGGAAGGCAACGACTCGTATATCTATGATTACCTTGGCGCATACTTTTCAACGATATATTATTTGCAAGATCAACAGCAGTTGGTGAATCTTCTTTATAAGTGCAATTTTAATATCCTAATTTTTACGCACGTTTATATGAAATTCTTTGAAACATGGCGTTACACATAATCCGACATTACAAGTAGCGCAATAGTAACGTGTCTCTTTCCTAAATCCTTTTGATGTGCACATTTTACACCTTCTCATGGCACAAATCTTCCTAGCAGTCGAAGGTATATATTCCAGGTGGTGATGCGCTATGTTCCATTCCTCTGGAATTTGCGTTCCTTTAACAATAACATGTTTATTACTTACGACGCATATTTTATGTTTAAGACTGAATTTTTGAATGAAAACAGAAATAAATAATTACATATAAAAAAATCTTATATGACTAATCAATTCTCTTCCAAAGCAAGTATAAAGAAAATTCGAAATTAGAAAGATGAATTGATTTTATATAAGAGAAGACTAATTTTATTTACGGAATATAATTTTAATTATTGAGACAAGTGTAATTAATTAATTATATAAGTATAAAATATTGAAAACGCGAGGAAAGTTATATTTTTATTTCATAGGAACGACGAGAAGACTGCGCAAGATTACAAAGTCCAGGGCGGTTCGGTGCTGCATTTGGTACTTGCGTTGAGAGGAGGCTGTAGATATAACATTCCTCATTTATAAACGACAGCGAAAGAATATTAAGGAATTGTGAGAGCCAGAGAAAGGAAAAAAAAAAACAAAAAAAATGTTTATCATTACATATGCGCGATCCAGAAGGACTTGAAACTCTATGTTATTTTAAATAGGATAACATAGTCATGTGATCTTTACAACCTAAATAAATATTTAATAAAATAATTTAATCATCTACCACTGCATATTTTTATTTGAAACACATGTGTTACCTTTCTATTATTCTTGCGTTACATATTAACATTATATCGTGAGATTTTATTTTTAATTATTTGTGTGGAATGCAGCATTAAAAATAATTTTATATTTGGAGAAAGAAATCGTCATATTGTCCAAACTGTAATCAAACAAAATGTAATCAATTACACAGTTATTTATTTAATATATGACTTTAATAATAATAAATACAAATCATAGCAAGCATATAAATCTTAAGTCTCAAATTATAATACTGAAAGATTTGTATTTTTTTTTTCTGAAAAGAAAATACATGAAAAATTACAATACTATACTTATAATACTTTTTAAGGAAATAAATCGTTTATTTTACATATGTTCTTCATAAATGGTAAAGAAAAGAACGAGACCCGACCCGAATTCACAGCATTGAATTAAGGACAACATTAAATACTAATAAAAATAATCAATTATTCCATGCATTAAATATTGTGTATCAATTACCAACACTGCTCTCTAGCCACGACTGCAATTGTTTTCTATTTAAATCTTTGACGATCACACTTTTGATTTGAAATTTATTTATTCTTAAGTAGCTTAAACTATATAATGTTTGAGTGCCTTGCTAAATCGGCATTCAGGAAATATAATCAATAAATTGATGATATATAATTTAAAAAATTCGCGATTCTAGAAATTACTATAAGAATTTTTAATTTTGGAGCTTTCAATTCGCAGAAATCTTAAAAGTTAAAAGAAAAATTATAATATAGCAAGCTAATATGATGGAAAAAATACGAATTAAAATTGTAGATAATATATTTCTAAAAATAATTATTAATTAAATTATAATTAAAAGTAATTAAAATTAAAGTTCTGAGCATTATACTTTTATTCCAATTATGTATCGCTTCTTTTCTTTCATTTATATTATAAATAGAATTTATAAATAGAATTTATATATTATTTATATATCCTAAAAATGGACCAAAAATAAATAAATTAAAATTTCTTCAATTCGATTTCAAGCTTTACACAAATAATTATTATATAACTTATTACAAACATATGAATTATAAACAAACGATTTCTAGTTCTTAAAAATATTCTTAAAAAGAGATAAAGAACGAGAAGAATAAACTACAACAATTGTTGATTCGCGTAAGGATAAATGCTCTCTCGTTTTTCGATATTTTTTTCTTAAAGATTTAAACAATTTATTTAAATCGAAGTAATAATAATAATAATAATAATACAATAAAATTCTGATCATAAATTTTCTAATGATAGTTCGGGAAAAAGCTAAATAGGTATAAGGTACAAAGCACTTTATTAATCAATAATGGAATTGCCACGCCAATTCGCTAATACTATATGTTGGGGTTGTGACATTAGGCAAGCTTTCGGTCAGTTTCTGTGATATCTGCTGTTGTGCGTTGCCCGACTCCATTTGGTCTTAAAGACACGCTGGCAAATGTTGCAGTAGACCGCAGAATTCGGCGAGTCCTCGTGCTTGGATGTAATATGTCGTAGAAGCGCGTGCTGCGTTGTGAACGTGACGCCGCATTTGTCGCAGTACGTCATCGTGTGGACGTTCCTGACGTTCATCGTCGTCGTCTTCGACTCTATACAAATGCATTTTTTAGTTTATCCAGGTTTCTAGTCTTTATGTTCTGCGCTACCATTAGATACTGCATGTAAATAGTATAAATACATCGCGAATATTGACAAACGATCGTCTATGAATGAGTTCTCCATGACTTGCAGAAGACTAGAGTTCCGACGAGTTAAGTGCTGCGCGAACAGCAAAATCTTGTTCCTTCGTCAATTTCAAGTAAACTTTACCTAACAAGAGGCCTGTTATAATCATCCGCAATCGATTCGATCCTCCTTAAAATGTGTTAAACACAAATTCTAAGAGACACAGTATTTTTGAAATTTAAAGAGTTGATTGTCTCCTCAAAATTGAACGGGGATAGAAATATTTTCAAAATATTAGATTTTTGAAAAACTCAAAATATAGCCATATATAAAATTGCATAGCTTATATACAGCTATCAAATATATATAAAAGTATTGTCGAAAACATTTTTCTGTATATTCTACAGTTTCACTGAATCATCTATTAAATATAAGTGTTAACTTTTTAAAGGATTGTTTCACTCCTTAAATATAAAATTTGAGCCTATATAAAAAAAAATACATATCTCCTAGATTTTTTTTGTATTTAATAACATATTTCAAGAAGACAACAACGTATTTCAAATCGGTTTCGAATAGTTATGACAGGTCTCTTGAAAGAGAGAATTCAGTTTTTAAAAAATTTTCTATAGCTAATCTTTCGGAATTAATACCAAAATCTATAACATCCTTATTACGCTGAATCTGTAAGATCCATTTAATTTATGTCAATTAAAAAACACTAATTAATTTCAAGGAATAAAATGACATAATTCATATAAAGACGAATGGATGTTAAATATATTTTAATAAGAATAATCTAAATTTATGTAAATGAAACATAAAAAAAATTGAATTATCTTATATTTCTAATAAAGAAATTTAATTGAGTGGGTCTAATAGATTCACTATCACCAATTAATGTAAAAAAATTCAAAAGTCATTCCTTCATCCCCGATGATGTTGCACGATGAATTTGGCGATAGCAATCTCGAGAAGGAAAACGGTTACACATATCAATACGGAATACACATATCAATATTAAGTATTTATTTTAACAGATAGCAATATTAGTTTATATAAAAATTAAATCACCGTTAACGATAATCAATTCTTGTATTTAATCCCTAAGTTGTATTGCTTCGTCATTCGTCCACTCATCATGCATTCGCAATTATCGCCCTAGCAATCCGTACCTTTAAAGTCTAATAATGTAAAAGCAATTCCATTACCTGCTGGTCATAATAAGATTCCGTAAAAGTCCTGGCTGGTCACATCGTTATCTTGTCGTTGATCTGAATTTATGAAGGCTCTTTCAATTGCCGATCGAAAAAAATGGCAATGATGCGATATCACTAATTAAATTATCTTGATAAAATGAGTTTATTGAAATAAAATTAAATAATTAAACAATGCGAGATACGAAACTAATCGAAGTCCAGGGGAAAAAGTAATGATGGAGGAAATTTTTATCCATTTTTTTTTCTGAAAATAATTAATTCTTAATAGGTTCTTCTGAAAATAATTAATTAACACATTAGGGATAAAACGTAACGCAATATTAATTATTAGGGATGCAACGAGTAGATCCAATCTATCTGACTTTTTTACAATTCGACCATTTGATCAGTAATACTTTGCTCAATATTTTTTCAAAGTATTTAATTTTACTATTAACTCATAAGATATATATAGATAGATTTAATACAGATGTTGATTCTTCATAAAATTTATAGAGTTTATTATAAATAGGTTTATATTATATAAATAGGTTTTTATTAAATTTATTTTGAATAATTAACTTTATTAAGAATCACTAATAAAATATTGAAAAATTATTTAATAAATATTAGTTATTAAATTTTTACAGCATACTTATAATGATTAATATTAAAAAATCCTCTTTTTTATTGTAAAAAAACAATTAGATTTTCAATTTTTCAATCTCTTTATGCATAAAATTCGAGTATCCGACTTATCCGGTAGCGATGAATGAATTATCCGGTATCCGATTATCCGAGAAATCATTAGCCGTTGCATCCTTATTAATTACATCAATCACTAATTCTCTATACACGGATATCCATCAGAAATTCTTTTATTTACATTACTGCGATAACATCTGAAAGCGTATAGTCTTACACGATCTTTTAATTAAGTTACAAGCTCACAATTACGATACCGAACGTAACACGTACCTGAATAGAGAACGCAATATTTTGTTTCGTGCTACCGATAGTGTCTCACGATATCTACGTTAATTTCTAAATTCGCTGCAACACACATCCGCTGTATATTTTTTGTAAAGAGATTAACCCTTCCGGGCCGAGACGGATAATTTTTTTTGCCCTTACTTCGAAATCATCTTTTTGCGATCTTCGTTTGAACACTACGGTAGATCCTTTGACCAGAAAATACGAAATTGTTTGGCTTTCGTAAAAGCTTTGGTAAAACTATGCCTCGGAGGATTAGAATAGCTTTTCTTTTTGCGATAGCGCGTTTTCGATTTCTTATGGCAGCATACAGAATGACAGCATATTCTATCAATAATTTTTCAGGATCGATAAAGGTAATTTACATGAACTACTTTTGTAGAAGAGTAAAATATAAAATTCGTTCATATAAATTTATTAAATTATATTACGTTTTTTAATGAAGTTTGATGAGAGTCCGATGCAATGTTGATGGATGCAATGTTAACGTCGTTCGAAATATTGTTTGTCCTTAATTTTCATCGATCGAGAGAAATTTATGAATAGAAAATGTTGTATCCTGTTTGCTGTATATATAAGTATATTCAGCTCTATGTATCTTTTATCGGTATTAAATTTTCTGCAAACTGTTACATCTCTCTTTCTAAGATACTAATTACCTGAATTTTGCATCGAAACTTTAATTCGAACACGTCCGTGCGTCTCGGATGTTCCTCGTAAGACTAGAGATTTTCACATTCATTTTATACTGCGATTTGCACAAATTGTAGCTCATGTGTCTCAGCAATTTTATACCGTCATCGATTATTTTATTTTTATCGCACACCTCTTACCAATGTGACGCTTTTTCGCTCCGTTGGGCAAGATTTTCTGTCGAGATTCATTTGTCTTGATCTTTTATATACCTCTTACTTTTCTCGTGCGTTGTCAATCTGTATAATTTCTTACTATCGCAATACCTGTCGCAATTTATCTGTCGCAGGGATACTTAAATCTCTTTGCACAAAATCTCTTCACTTTATTTTATTTTCATGATATATGTTCAGAATTTATATATTTCAATTTTAATTTATTAATATTTTTTAATTTTTAATGTTTCTTTTATCC